TTACTTTATTATTATTATTTTTATTATTATTAATTAATTAATTATTAATAATAATATTATATTAATTATTAATAGATCTAGGTGCCTATTCCTTAGCAATTATTACTTCAATTCTATGGTTATATTATAATATTTCACCACCTGTTCAACTGATTTCTGCATCAAATTTATTATTGGATTTAAGATTAATGTTATTTTTAAGGGTTTTTAAACATTTTGGAGCATATTTTGCCATTATTATAGAAGTTGCTAAAAGAGTCTTTTGGTTCTTAATTATAATAATGATAATCATTTTAAGCTTTTCACATGCATTTTTTTTATTATTGAAACCAAGACAAAATTTTGCATTAGACAACCCTGATTTCAATGATGATACCAACAATCCTTGGAACCTTGTTAATAAATATTATACATATTTTGCAAACAACAATTCATATAATCAAGATTCATTTCTTGTACAACAACCTGATGATAATACAAACATGTTTGCACAATTTCCTTCTTCAATCCTGGCAATGTATAATTTCCTTGCAGGTAGTAATTATATACTGTATATTTCATTAAAATAATAATCAAGTTGAATAATTTAATTTGTTTGATTTCTTTATTAGGAGATAAGGGAGCATTTGGATCTTGGGTGTTGCAAGATGATACATATCTTGTAATATTAGTAGTTGCATTTTCATTCATAGTTGTGGTATACCTAATGAACCTATTCATTGGTTTACTTAGTAATGAAATTGAACATTATAATACAAGAGAGGCATTCTTGGCTCAAAGAGCAAAAATTATCATAGAGATTGAATTATTTTATTTATTTCCTAATCAACGTCGTTGGAGAAACTGGTTTCCAAATATATTGTAAATACAATAATAATCATTTATTTAATTAAATCATTTTTGATGAATTTCTTCTAATAATTATTTAAAAATTTTTTTTGTTAGACATTATGATGCACCAATTGATGATATTCATAAAAAGATCAAAGAAGTAGATGATAGCAATGAGGATGCAGAATATCTCCCATATATTTCTGATAGGCTTAGACAACTTGCTGGTGTGTCTAAAAAAACAGAAAATGATTTTGATTCAAAATTTCAACAAATTGAAGACAAACATGTTGAAGTGTCTAAAAAAATAGAAAATGATTTTGATTCAAGGTTTCAACAAATTGAAAATAGCCTTAAAAATAATATGAAGGAAATAGAAAAAAATCTTAAAGATGATCTCAAGGAAATGGAAAATAAATTAAATCATAGTAATCAATTGTTGATTCAAATGCAAATTTTGTTGAATGAAATTAAGAATTCAAAAAAATAATTATTTTATTTTTATTATTATTACTATTTGATATATATTATTTAATTATAATTATTATTTTTTAACAAGTGATAATACATCTACTTTAATAATTTTGTAATTTTAACATTTGGAAAATTCAGGAACATAAAATACATATTATTGCCGATTTTACTATTATATTATTTCATATATATCGTTGGCATTTGGATTTAAATATATATTTTTTTAATATTTAAACAATCAAACGTAATCGCCGTGGCACAATAATTAATATAAATTTCATATATTTTTTATGGATGGAATTTGCAACCAAAGTTGTTTCCAATTAACTAGTCCAAAGATGAGTTAATCCAAAGGGTACGTTATTATTGAGCCTAAAACCATTCTCTGATAAAAATCGAGCGAGTGGATGAAGCTTTCGAAAGAAAGTTAAGAGGAAATTGGACACTCTTTTGGACGATCCACTACAAATGCGCCCATTCGAAAATCTCTACAATAATACGCATTAGGCGATAAAAAGGTTTCACTGAAATTATTTTCCGAGTAAACATTAACGAAAGTATGTTATTCTTACCAACACCAACACCCAATACCATAAAATCACTTGTTATATCTTATGTTTATACGGTTGGCTTGCTTGTAACTGTAGAAGTATATCAAAGAAAATTCAATGCACCATTATACATTTCACGTAAAATAATTCATATTGGCGCTGGAGCTTATTTGTTTTTTCTTTTGCATTTGTTTGAACAATGGGAGTATGTGGTACTCTTGCCCGCTAGTTTTGTACCGCTTAACTATATATCCTATAGGATAAGACTATTCAAATCTATGGGTGATGTTTATTATTATTATGACAATTATGATAATTATGATATAAATATTATTAAATTTTGTATAAAATGAACTTCATCCAGATCCTCAAACTGGCGCAACTTTAGGTACCTTGTACTTTCCATTTTCATGTGCACTGTTATTTGGATATTATCATGAAGGTTGGGAAAATGGTTTCCCTCGAGGACGTGAATATATTGCAATAGGTATATATTAATATAGTTAAACATGCTTATTACGATTATTTTTTATTAATTAATCATAGTGTGATATTTAGCTGGTATCATGGCAATGACTTTTGGTGATGCATTTGCAAGTATTATTGGAAAACGTTATGGGAAGAGGTATTATCATGTGGTGACAGCTCGTTCCGAACGTCGTACCATTGAAGGATCTCTAGCAAATTTTGTCGCTACTGCGATTGCAATTCTGTTCTTTTGGTCGATAATGTCACCACCAACACTACTAAATTCCACGTGGAATTATATCACCGGAGCATTGATTGGAGCAACAGCGAGCACATTGTTGGAAGCAATTAGTCCAATGGGAACTGATAACATCAGTGTTCCATTAGGTGTCAGTTTTATCTTGTCAATTCTAAATTATTAGCCTATAAATTTTGTGTATATATATATATAAGGTATTTATTATATGATGGATGTATGTGTATTCGAGAATTTATTTATTATCAGATAAATATAATAATTATTAGTATTTAATTTTCAATATTAATTTCAATCACAAAATTGTTTATTTCCTCACTAGAATATAAATGATATGTAAATTTTTTTTAAGTAATAAATAAATTATAAATAAGAAATGAAAAAAAGACTTCGTACCAATTATATTGTATGCAAATATTAACTATTTTATAAAAAACTCATCATCTGAATCATCACCAAATTTCCTTCTATTATACTTTTTCAACCATAGTAATAATAAAAGTTAGAGAAAATCTCTTATTTCTAACAAATAATCTTCTTTATAATTAATTATTAACAAATACCACAATTTTAGTCTCTGGCTTTTGTTGTTGTTTAATCTGTTCAAGTAAACCAATTAATTGCGTTTCGCTAACTTTTCCACGTATTTGACCTGTTTGTACCATTCGAATTAATAAATCTTCAACTGCTCGTGCTTTATCTGCTTTAACTATTGAAATCCTTGCAACTATAATTATTATATAATTAATATATGTATACATATATATATATAATCTAAACTTTTACTATCATTGAAACTCACGTCGTTCTCGAGCTTCATTATCAAGTATTTGGGACAACTAAATTGAATTAAAAATAGTTTTTTTAGTTGATAATTTTTAATTTATATATTCAATAACACGGATATATATTCATTTATTAATATAAATCAACTGTACCATTGCTTGTCTTGTTTCTTCAACTTGGCTGTAAAATGTTTATTTGGCCAGTTGAAAATACTTAATAATTTGTCTTTTTATGTATTTATATATTCTAAAATTTTTTTCTCCATTACCGTTTTTGTTCTGCATCTTCTTCTCCTGACTTTGGATTGCTACCCTGTTTGGATTATCGGGAGTTTTTTGAGAGATTTATATTTGAGTAAACAAATTTACACTTTTAAAAACTTAAATCATTGTTCATATATGTACTTACAGATGAATTTTGTGCTTGTAATTCACGTAATCTAGCTTGTCTAATTGCTTGAAGTTCTGAATCGTCCATTTTTTTCTTTGTAAAAGTAGTTTATTTTTATAATTTTCAGATTGGTAATGTGCATGATACACTAATGTGGCAAATTTTCCTATAAAAGGTAAATTTTCAATAATTTTTTTAAAAAATAAATCAACATTCATTTGTTTGGAAATAATATTAATATATACAGTTTTATCTTGAAAAAAAAAATTTATTTTTTTGTTTAACAAATAAAATGAAAGAAAGCTCACAATACGACTATAAAATCTCTACCAGGCCTCAAGAATTCGGCCCAAAAGGCGAAACTTTATCAAATCCTGTAGGGAACTTGCTTAAGGGGGGGGAGGAAGAGGAGGAAGAAAATAAACAAGAATCACCATTTGAAAAAGAACTTAAAGCATATCATAATCTTAAAAAACTTGAAGACAAACCCATTAAATCAATAAATGACAACGGCACTCATAATTATAATTCTTCTTACGACGAACAAAGACAATTAAAAGACGAATTGAATAATAATAATGGTGATCAAGATTCTTCCTTATCAAACTACCACAACATCAATTATAGTGATAATAGTTGTAATAGTAATAATAATAATGGATCAAGAGCTAAAGTATATTCACCACTTAAAGGTTATATAGCAACTTCAGAGGAACAATACTTTTATCATCCTGAAAGACAATTATGGTTTGACACATACTCTGGAATCTATTCATATTATGACAAATCCACTCAAACTTACACTCCAATAAATGACACCACAGCGGCCACCCACAATATACAATTTATCAACAACAACAACGTTAACACCACCGCTGCTGTTTTTGAAGATTTAGCAATAGAACAAGGTGAACCTGGTAGTGATGCAACTCTTAGATTGGTGGTGATCGAATCAGGGATTTTAAAATCTGGTGATTTGGTTCTTGTTGATGCTAATGGAATTTCTATAGGCAGAGATAAATGTTATGATAGACGTCTTCGTCTAGCTGAGATGCCAACTTCAAAACATCATTGTCAAATATTTTTTTCTTCAAAGTCAATAATTGACTCCAACTCTGATCCTAATAATAATGATAATGATGATAATTACGAACTCGGTGATAATGATGATGATAAATTATCACCATCATCGTCTCCTTCTTCTGTCAACTCACTTGAAGCTTTTTTTATAGTTGATAGTGGATCTCAGAATGGAACTTTTGTTAATTCTAAACGTCTTTCTGAAAGTAGAATGAGTTCTAAACCATGTCAGTTGAGTCATATGGATGAATTGGAGATTGGTAGTACTAAATTTCAAGTTCATCTACACAAAAATTGGACATGTGAGGCTTGTACTGCATCAGAAGGAAATATTGTTGACATTTTACATAGATCCGAAATTGATAATAATAGTAATAGTAATAGCAATAACAATAACAATAACAATAACAATAACAATAATAGCAGTATTAGTAGTAGCAGTACAGGACAAAATGACAGCTTTAATGTAACACAAAAAGAACTTTTGGAAATTCAACGTAGATTGGAATTAAATAGATTAAAAAGAAAATATATAGGATCAAATAATAATCAAAAAAGTGCAAAATATGTAGACCGTGCAGCATTAAGGAGAGAAACTCGCCCAGATAATACACCTTTTAGAAAAAATGATGATCAAGATACTAATGCTGATGTTAATAATAACTATAATTATAACAATAATAATGGTGGTGATAAGGAAATAATATGTACAGAAACAAAAATTGGACCAGAAAATAAGGGAAGTAAACTATTACAGAAAATGGGTTGGCAAGAGGGACAATCATTGGGTTGTAATGGAAATGGAATTATTGAACCTTTGAATTTAGTGATTAATAAGGGTCGGACTGGACTTGGTGCTGACGTTCCAAAAAAAGCAAATGATGTTACGGAAACACTACAAGAAGCAACTCGACGGTATAGTAGTAATAATATATATATAAAAATAACACAATATTAATATTAATTCTTTTTTTATGTTAAATAAAAATTTTTTTTGTTTTTACAGAATTGCAAAAGAAAGATTTATCAACTTGTCATAATATAAATTTTCTTTATAACAACTGATATTATTGCCAATTGTTGATTACCGCCATAATCATCATCACCATCACATTCACCATCATCATCAACAATGTCAGCAATTTTTGTTTTAATTACATGTTGAGAAAAAAATCATATATATTGATTAATGTCAAATTTGAAAAAAAAAAAACAATAAGGTATATCATATTAAATTATTAAAATAATGCTTATAAAATGTAAAAATTTTTCAATTAATTAATAGTGATAAATTTTTTAATTTGTGGGTATTCTTTTCTTCTCACTCTCTTCTATATATTATTAATTATTATTATTATTTCAGTCAGTGTATAAAATAATAATAATTTTTGTGCTTGTGCGTGTGATTCTTTCTCTACTGGATAATAATAATTCACATTGGAAATCAATCCAAACAATGCAGATTTTAACTTTATTATTATTGTCAAGTTGGATTATTAGTTGTTTGATCTCTCTTATTTTCTCCATATGGCATAATAGTGCGTCCTCCTTTCTGCCTTGTTGATGAGAGAATGTCAAGATTTTTGAAACAAGTTTTTGCCATCACAAATTTTTTTTTTCTTTAAAAAATGTTTAATTATTATTATTAGTATTCTTTTTGCATAAAGGTATATGGGGGATAAGAGTCTTAAAAAAAAATCTTCTAGTAAATTACATGAGTCGAAGAGAATGAAAATTTATAGTTATTATTATTATTATTATTATTATTATTATTATTATTATTTAATCTGTGCATGTGTGGTGTTATATTAGAGATAAAATCCATGGCACTAATATATCAATAAAAAAATCAACTATTGGGTCTGTAATCCTTCTTAAAATTAATAATGGTATTTGTATCAATTTTACTGGATTTATCTTATATAAAATAAAAGAAAAATAAAATAAATAAATTTTGATATTTTGAAAAAAGTTAAAAAATCAAAAATCATTCTTTACCAGTAGAAAAGTTTTTCCAATGGTGTAAGGAATCCAAACAGAACAAGCTAAACAGATTGAAATCAAAAGTGCCATTAATGCAGAATTTTGCACAAGTACCCAGGGAGAACCTCGCATCCCAATAGCCTCTAGTACTCCTTCAAGCTCTTCATTCGCAATATTGTCATCATCATCTCCTTGGTCAACAACATCTGGAACATTATTGTTGTTATTGTTGTTGTTGTTAATTTCTTCTTCCATAAATAATAATCAAAACTTTTATATACAATTCTAAACCTGACAAAGAGAAAAAAGTTTAAACATTTTTAAATCAAAAAAATCAAAAATTATTATTTATGCAATTAGCACCCCTGATAAAAAAGATTTACTGAATTACTGACATATTAATATTAATATTATTTGTACTTGCCTTATTCGTTTTATTCGAATTTATTCATTTTTATTCTCGTTTTATTCGTTTTATTCTCGTTTTATTCGAATTTATTTGAATTATTTTTTACTCGAATTATTTTTTACTCGAATTATTTGTTTTATTCGTTTTACTTGAATTCTTTTTCCCTAACTACTACAAAAGATTATGATATTATTTTAGTACAAAGAGCTTTAGAAATAAATATTTAACCAATAACTTAATTACAATATAAAAGAGTTATTGATTTATTAAATTAAGCCAATAATTAACTAAAAAAATAGGATTAATTTTAAAAGAATATCTGATAAATATTGGTGCTTTCAATATTTACTAATGTCATAACTGCCCCTCTTATCAATCAATTATCATCGATGTATCTGTAATTTCATAGTTAGTTTTTTGTTGTTGCCATAATTAATTTTAATAGTTGCCAAAATTATCTCCAACTATTTGAACTCTTTAGTCAAATGTATATTAATATATAGTTATTTTATGTTCATTCATATAAAGAATATTAAGAATCCATAATTATTGCCATAATTACTTTTCTTCCAAAGTGGCAAAACTTTTGACTTTAGTCATTGACATAATGAAAGTACTGACTGAAGGTAGTTTCTCACCAAGGGCCATTATTATGTCTCCTTGGCTATTGTATTTATAATCTGGGATCATGTCAAATTTTCCCTTTTTGATAGAAAAGAAGAATTTTTGTAATTAATAAGGATACATACTGGTAAAGTCATATTGACCTCCATAACCTTTCCATTCATTTTTGGCCAATATCAATCCACCTCTCATTATGTCTGAAATCCATTTAGCCTCTTGAGGATCTAAGGGTTCATTTGCTGATACACTAAGACTAGATTGCTCAAATGCCATAAAGCCATACCCTATAAAAAATAACATATGGTTCATGTACTGTTTCCTGTACATTTCCCATATATTTTCAGTCAATAATTTTTTATAGGAGCATGACTTTTTCATTACCACCACACATACTTATACCCATTGGAATGCCAAACATTTTTGACTTTTCAAGTAATGCATCCCTTTCTTCATTAAATCTAGTATATGTTCTGTATGAGTTTCAAAAGTCTTACAGTAGGCAATGGTAAAATCCATCAAGTGATACAAGTGGTGTTACAAATTTTACCAATAAATTTCAAGAAAATAATTGTGATACAAGCAGACTAAGAGTTTTAGCCAATAGAATTTAAAGAAAATTAATATGATACAAATGGTCTTTTCAAATTTAGCATGAAATACTTGATATGGAATCAGTATGAAATTTGTAACTATAACATACTGAAAAGGTACATTTTAATTCCGCATATAATAATAAGATACGGAATAGGTATGGAATTTGTAGCATACTAATACTGAAAAGCCATATATAAGGTATGAAATTTGTGACATATTAATACTAATACTAATACTGGAAAGGTTCTAATATGTTTTGATTCTGTGTTGCAAGTGTGCAATCTGAGTTTCCTATTTAATAGGTTATTTTATGTTCAACACACAACCTACCTGTTGACTTACAGTCAAAGTTATTTTTATATGACATGCTGACTTATGGTCAAAGTTACTTTATCCTTTTGGATAAAGGGTCCCTAGGTTCTATTTTACTAACTATATCCCAAAGGCATCCCCTTGAGATGTATCTGAATAATTAAAAGGGCTCCCAACTAATAATTAAAGGTTGGCCAGACCATTAACCATTAGAAGGGCTGGGGGGTCAATCACACTGGGTTTATTA